ATGTATGTCAAAAATACTGTCATTATGGACATTTCAAAGACTTAGTTGAAGGGCAAAAGACAGTGCAAGAAAATGTACACAGAGACATCAAGTTTATTGCATTAATTCTTCTGTAGTCAGAGGACCCTGGAAGCCTTCTGAAGAATGTGCATGGTAGAAGTTATGTGAAGTTATAAAACATGAAAATCTGAGAATGCTGCCAGCAAAAGTTAAAATATTCAATAAAATATTTGATTTTAAATTCACAGGTATAACTTATAATCTTTAAGAAATTGAAATAGATTTAGTTAATGCATTTTTTGCAATTTTTTATGCCAAACTGTGGATTTGGGGTTTTTTTTTTTTTTGCCACTTCCTCTATCCAGAATAAAATTTGGGACATATACTTGATCTGATGAACGATCAATTAATTGATCTTTCTAGTAATTGAGAAGCTTCCAGGCAGAAACAGTTTCTACAGTTACCTAAAACTTTTAAAATGTAGATTGGAAATTCCTATGGTGAGGTTTACATGATGCTGCTTAAGCATCTCCTTTCAGCAAGAGACAAGAGCTACAAGGGCAGAGATCTCCAGGAATGCTTTCAATAAAGTACAAGCAGGCTGGATTACAGCCCCATTTTTTTTTTAAAGGGCCATGCTGATAATGAGCTCAAGACCCTGTTCAGGGGTCTTCGAAAGAGGAACTCAAAACAAGTTCCTTCACAGCAATGATGGTCCTACTACCGAGGGGACCTGCAGGTTGTGATGACACCACTGGTGAGAATATGCATTGCACAGGCAGAATCATGATGCTCAGGCCTACCACTTTTTGCTGGAAAAGTCTCGTCAATTTTCAATTTCAGATTTCAGCCCAATGTGTTCAGCTGGCATAATGTCAAAAGAAAGAGAGGAGCTAAGAACGTTTTAAGAGGTCACTGTCAGGTAAACCAAGGATGCAATATTCTTAAATAGTGTTTCTTAATTTTAATGCTCATTTTAGCCTTGATATTTCTGCCCTTCCTGCAGGTGATGCAGTGCCTCTCAGGCTTCAGGAAGAGACCTAAATTGGTGATAGAGGGATCGTATAGGTCAGTTTATTTAGGAATTTTTGTTCCTTTAATGACAAAGATCTGAATGAGCCCTTTCTAATGGGTTTCTTATAGCTGAGGAAGTATTTCAACATTAATTGGCTAGAAATTGATTGACCAAATTCCTGATTAAAGAAGTCCCCACTATTCACAGTAGTAAGATCATGGGATGTGATCCGGATTATGACCATATTCCTCTCATTCGCTGGTTAAGGATAACTAAATCTTTGCACACAGAACTCTTCTTGTAAGGAACAATACAATAATGCAAAACATTTACCTGCAAAGAGCAAGTGCAAAACCTATGGTTATCTTATTTCCTTGGAATTATATGTTGACAGAAGAAGACTTCATAAAAAGGAAAAAAGCTCATCATACGAGGTCACTTACTAGATCTGATGTGACCGACTCCTTTCCTCTCTAAAAGGGAGCAAAAGAGATGCTGCCCACTTACAGCAAGTGTCTCCCAGATGAGCTGAAACTTCATTGGAAGAAACATGGCTTGGAGCAGGATACCTGAGCCACGCTAAAGTAGAATCAGTCAACCTGCAACATTAGAAGGGGACTAACTTCCTCTGCAGCTCAAAGGAACATGACTTGCAGTCTAATTGCAAGGTATTGTAGCTGGACAGGCAATGGGGCAGAATCTTAGAGAAGCAAAGAAGGGACCTGAGCTCGAGTTACACGGGGCTCACCACGCTCAAGATGAAAGAGATCAATGCCTGCCTTTCTGGATGAGAAGAATGTGGCTCTTGCCTCCGTGACAAGTTTGCTGGCTGTGTGCATGTAAATCAGCCAGCTCGCTCGCAGTGTAACGAGGGGCCTCTCTACGTGTATTAATTGTTAAAACGGAGCTCAGCCGAGCCAGGCAGCAGAAGAATTGGAGCTGGAGAGTTGAGTTAACCAGGCGGAGCAACATTTTCTTTTACCCTGTCTGCCTGCTTTGTTCTTTTAATCATGACCTTTTATTTTATTTTTTGGGAGAGGAAGGAAAGATTGGAAAAAAATATTTTCTAGTGGTTTTGCAAATGAAAAAGGCTGTAGAAATATCATCAAGGAAATACTGACAAATTATGCAGGAACTTAATTCTGTCAGCTTGTAATTATAGAAGACCAGATATAGTATCAGCTGGTCTAATTTGGGTAAATTTACGTTTGTAATAATAGTAGTATGTAAGTTTCTTGAGAAATCTTCCTAATTCTAGTATTAAACTAGCACTTGAGTGAGCACAGAGACGTTACTCTAAGTTCTAAGATTGCACAAAGCAGAAGAAACTTAAATGTGGCCTTTTATATCATAAAGCTTCTACGTTGATCACGTATTGGAAAGAGTTAACAGTGATATCTGAACCATTTTTCAAATGGTCTCATTAAAGGCAATACATTAACGGTCCATACATTCTGACAGGTTAAAAGCTTGCATGTGAATTATGTTTCAGGAGCTCAGTTAACCTGGTGGCTGCATCCAAATGCAATCTGTGTGTGGTAGACACATGTGCAAACCATGAACGTGGGATTTTTTTTCAGAGGTATCTGAAAATGTTGTTCAACCTAAAGTAGGGGCTTAATATGAAGCTAGTGCTTGTTTATAGCAGCCTGTTGAAAACGCTGTCTGTTATCAGAACTTACCTTACTTTGGGCTGGGACATGCTCACAGGATACCCTCAATGTGCTGCCCACTTTCAGATTCTTTTAGTGGATGGAAAGCTCCTAAGATGAGTGTGTGACTTGCTGTGTCCTATAGCACTGTTTCTGATGAAGTTCTTTGCTGGCAAAACAAAATCATCACTTTCTGTAAAATGTGTTGGTAGGAAACTGGTACTGAAGAGCACCAGTAAAATGGGCTTCTAGAATAGAATATGCTCCATGTATGTCCTGACTGCAGGACACACCACTGGCTGATTAGACCTTTTGTAAATAAAGGTTCTACCGAGGCAGAAGGAAAATGTCATTTTCTGTGAAGTCTTTTTATTTATTTATTTTTACTGTCTCAGGGTAGCACTTAGGTAATTCATCTGTAAAGACTATTTTTCAAGAATGTTGTATTTATAAAAATAAGGAAAATTAAAAGACTAAAGTTTCAATTTCTCCGAATAGCGTTTTCTTTGAAGCAACTTGCATGTTTAGAGCTAGTTTTTAAGTACAGTGGTTTGTTCATTCTCGGACAATAAATACTATTTCAGTTTCTTTTCTTCAAGCACTGCAAATACTATGACTTTTTTTGCATAATATACAGTGATTAAGATGCAAATTCTTTTCTAGGGAGACTCAAATTTTGAAGGGGCAAATGTTAGCAAAATAAGTGAATATATTACAATGGTCAAAAAAGGTATTTTAGTAGGTATAAATTTGATAGCTAGAAGTTTATTTCAGCTTATGCAGACTTTTCCTCATAATGTGAAGACTCGTGTTGGCATATTTTGATAGAGATTTTGGGGAAAAGCAGTCTTGCTGCACTTGAGTATCAAATTTTTCCTCTTTTAAATGTTTCTGTCTCAGAAAACTAGAAACCACAGTACTTCTCTGTCTGCTTATGGAAAGTACTTGCACTTACTGTGCTTAAAAGTTACAAGATTGATGCAGTTGACAGATCTGTGGCTGGCATCCTCAAGTCTGCTTCCTATGTAAGGATGCCCTCCTTGTGGCCATGACCCCCAGTGTTATGCGTAGCCCTTTATATAAAGGACAATTGCCCTGTGCTGTTTGGCCTTGAAATAGTAGTTTACATTCTTTATTTGTTCCTTAAAGAGGCTTAAAGCATGACAGACTAACTAAAAAGGCCATTTTTATTTTGTATATTTTAAATGTGCAGTAGATTTAGCTGCACCTGGTTTTATTTCTTCAAGCATGTCACAGCTTCCCTGTTTGCCATTGTGGAGGCCTGTGGGATTCTTCAGCTAACACCTCTTGTCATTTGTGGAGTTGAATTCAAAGATAGAATTGAGTCTTAAGAGTGGAAATTACCACCATTTATTTTTTAAATGCCTTGTTTTTCCGCTCAGATTCGTTTACGTGTTTTAATGGAGGCGAGTGTGTCCACAAAGAGCTTTGCAACTGCAGTCGATTTAATGCAACTGGACCAACATGCCAGACAGGTGTGTAGAGAGCAACAACTCACGAGGTTTCTGGGACTGTGTTCAAGTCTCCACAGCTGCCAGACTGACTTCTTTTTCCTCCTGCCTTCCCCCTCTTTTTTTTTTTTTTTTTTTCCCTCCCTGTGGTGCTATATAACTCACTGTGCTACTGCTTCTCGACTATACTGAATCCAAAAAGATAGTGCTACTTAAGTGACTCTCCGTTTGTTAGTGTACAACACAGGTGCTGAAAGAGATCATATATGCAGAACATGGGGCCAATACCACTTTGAAACATTTGATGGACTCTATTACTATTTTTCTGGGAAATCTACATACGCTCTTGTGAGACATACTGAATTAGAGGAACAGAGTTTTTCCATACAGGTAGGGGAATTCACTTTTACGTTCACTTTTACTCTTGTTGGACATGCTAATCATTAATTTTAAGATATTAAAAATAATTTTAGACCATAGTAAAGGGTTCTACAAGGTAATCTAGCAGCAGTGTATGCTGCTAGTTGCTCTAGCCCAAAAAGTAAATGGCTGTGTGTAAACTGAGGTGTGTGCTTTCAAATCCTACTGCTGCTGTGGAAAGACTGTTCCATAAAGAGAACTAGTTGTACACCTTTAAGAGAAGAAGAATGGGACCATACTATTTACTCCCAGTCCTACTCTCAATTTGTATATTAGGTGTGTAGATTTTAATGATGCTCTTAGTATTCCAAATACCTGATTTTGACACTAGTATTTTATTTGGCAGGTGAATAATGATCCAGAATGTCATTCGTCTCCTTATTCATGTGAACGGTCCATTAGTTTATTCTTTTCTGGAGATGAAGAAATAAAGATGAGCAGTGAAGTCACCTATAAGGGATTTGGGTAACTTCCATTACATTTATGATGCTGGTTCTGCACTGGCATTAATATCACGGCATTGTTTTGATCAACACTTTTGTACTGAAAATGTCCCATTTGACGTGGGTTTTGTGTCTGCCTGTGATTTTACACGTTTCAGGGTACAGTTGCCCTATGTCACTGGAAACTTGCGCATCCAGAAGCTGGCTGGGTACTTCCTAGTTAGGCACCAGGAAGCCTTCACACTGGCTTGGGATGGTGCCTCTGCAGCATACATCAAAATGGCCCCAGAGTACCTGGGCAAAACACATGGACTGTGTGGCAACAATAATGCTGTCGTGCAGGACGATCTTGAGACTAGTTATGGTGAGTATCCAAAATACTGCCTGACGTGTAACAATGTTCTTTATTTATTTTTTTTCTCCCAGAAATACTTTTCTATGGAAAATTTTACTTTGCTAAGCGTAGCTTTAAACTGTAATGCTAATCCAGTTTAGGAGGGGCAACATCTGAGATGAAGATACATGGAAATGCTTTCGCTAGTTGCTGTTGTCAGTGAAGGGAGCCAATATAGATAGGGACTCTGGAGGGAGGTCTCTAAGAAGTTACGACTTTTTTTTTCTCCAACAAATACTGCCCAGAACAAAAGAATGGGGAAAAATGTTTGGCCTCCGAAAAGTATCTTAAGTAAGATGGTAAGTGCTTCTGGAAATCTTTCCTTTAGGCTATTTACCTCTGCGTTCTTCATCTTTAAAATAAGGATACTGTTTCTGAAGAGTAATCCTGCAAGCGCGGAGTACGATATGTTGTAGATTTGCTTTGTTGGTTAAGCTACCTTACCCAGTTCTGCAAAGCAACAGCCCTGTGCTAGAATCCACCCTTACCCCCTTGAATAATTTACTTGCTAAATCTAAATACTTAAATTAATACCTGGATCAATAGCTCATTGTGCTCCCTGCTTTCAGAGGCTTTCCCCTACCCTCTCACCTTTCGCAAAATATTTCCATCACATAAAGCTCTGATTGTAGTACAGCAGATGTACTGTGTATTAGCCATATCCAGCTAGCTCAGGGAGCAGTAGTAATAAAGATAAAGCAAGATAGGCTGAAACATTTTCTGGTAATCCAAGCAGTAATCAGTGTCACCAGATTTTAATGGTAGATGATATCATTATGAGCTAGTTGGAAGCCAGTGTATGCATTCTTACTTGCATGAACATATTGCACTTTATTTTCTTACTAGAAGCAGCCATTCTGCATCATTGCACTGGTCCCAGTAGTGCCTTCCTTTTCCTTCTTTTATTGGGCTGCCTGTGGGGAATTCTACATAAAGGAATGGCTTGGAGTTATGTATATGCAGCTTATCAGTTCTCCTTTTCTTTCTTCCAGTCAAGGACTTCAAAAGGCCCAATCCTGCTCCCAAAAGTCCATCCTTTCCAAATCGCCTGAGTTACCTTCTTTCCACTTTTCTAAAGCCCATCTACAATATTCCATTTTAAAGGAACTTTTTTCCTTCTAAGGGCCAGATAGTCTTCAAACTAATATGTGATTCATTAAATCTGTTCTGGGTAGTGTTTGACTGTCTCCACTTAATGTGTTAAGATTACTGAGTATTTCTCCAGAAAATCCTATGGAAATACTGTTGGTTTCCAAGTCACTGTGTGATTGTATGTGTGTCTTGTTTAGGAAAACTAACAGATGATGTGACAGAATTCGTAGAGAGTTGGCAGGAAAATCCTCCACAAGGAACACCCAATTTGGATAATTCTTTTGTCAATGAGCCACCTTGCCTGACACAAAGCCACGAATCTCTGCAGGTTTGGATAACATGTATTTGTGATTTTTACTAGAGCTAGAGTTTGCCTAAATGCTCTTAGGGAGCCTGGAGATGTTCTCATTCCTCCTTTGGAGAGGAGGATTAAGGTAGCATTTGCTACAGAGATTCTGTTGTCCATTTTTCATTTGGTTTCTAGAGAAGTTTATAATTTGTAGGTCTTTTTGGTGCATTATATTGTATGGAAAGTAGTCAAATGCAATGATTTTGAGTCTGGGACTAAATGAGTGAAAAGTTGTGAAGCAGGGGCTGATTCTAGTGATTCTAGCAGTGTTTTTCATTGCTTTGGCTAGGGAGTATAGGAGAAAGCAGGTCTTTGAAATCACGTTTTTTAAAAAAAAAACTGTATATTTTTTAATCGCCAGTGCTTGGAATTTAGTTATTAGCCTTTCTTTTTTGTCCATCTCAATCACAATAGTTTCTCCTTCTAAGTAGTATTTTGAAGATTAAAACATCAAATGAAGTATTATGAAGCTAAAGCTTATGCCAGGCATGTTTTATTTCTGATGCCTTGTACTGCCTGATTTAAATAAAATGAGGACTCTACTGAAACACTAGTTCATAATTTTAGATTACCCAGCCTGCAAAAAAACTTTTTTTTGTTTTTGTTCTCCCGAACTTGGAACATTGAATCCTGCATCCAACAATGCAACAGTGCAGTGCTGGGTAAAGGATTCGATATTCTGAGTCATGTGGGATTGACAGCAATTTGTTATTGGCCACTGCCTCTAGTTAATAAGAGCTTTTACACAGTATGCTCTTCTGCCGATGTTTTCTGTTTTGAAGTTTTTCAAAAATAATCTCTTTCATTTTAGAGGATGTATACTCTCTGTGATATTTTGTTGCATCCCCCGTTTGAACAATGTCATGAGTATGTGAGTCCTCTTCCTTTTATGGCAAGCTGCACCAGTGATCTTTGCATGTAAGTGAATGAAATAATATATTTCTTCTGTGTATCAGTTTGCATGTAAAATGCTTTAAGCACAATAAAATGTCTTTATTTTTGTCCTACTGCTTCTGCTTTTGCTATCAGAAATGTCCAGAGTTGTTCTGATTTCCTTTGGTGTAAGGATGACCCAAATTATACCTAGCTACTTGCATAACTCATGAGTTTCTGCTCCTCTGAATATGGCATCTCTTTTGATGCTGAGTGTGCATCACTGATATTTATAATCAATCAGTAATGGAAAGTAGTAATGAATAGATAAATTCTGCATCTGCAAGACATCTCAATCCAACCAAAAGAGGAATTTTTGACCACCTGGAATGCTGTTTGTCCAGGTGGTTCTGACTGTTTAAAATAAAAGTCAAGTGGGGATAGCTTTCTTCTTCACTGGCAGAAGTCAGATATTTGCTTCTTGTGATTTTTCTGAAGGATGCTAATCCTATTGCCAAAAGGGAAACCTTTAGTCAAATCTCTCTTTATACAACTGTATCTGCTGGTTTTCCTGGATTCATTCAGGGAATCATTGTCAGGTTTCAAATATACTAGATGTTTTCAAAACATGGCAGAAGCTCATAGCCGTTTAGATTTCCAACTTGTCAAACAACAAATATTATAGAGTGTTATTTGTTAATGTTAGTTTAAGTAGCTAATGCATATATGTAACTGAAATTATACTGAAACATTCATGAGATTATGACTAAGTATTTGAATGTAGGGAGAAAATAACAGGCCAATATTTATTTATATAAGGTCAGCAATTGATAATACAACTTGGTGTCGAGCATTAACTGAATATGCCAGGGCCTGTGCCCAAGCAGGAAAACCTCTTCATGAATGGCGAACACACTTCCAACAATGTGGTATGTCCATGTTTCAGTAATTGCACTTCAAATATTTCATTTTTTTTCTTCTTTGCTCTTCTTCGCTCTTCTTCCTGCTATGGACTAAGACACATCTTGGTGGAAGTATAATTCTGGCTTCACTTCAACGCTATATAAACATTACTATTTTTTTTTTTAATTGTAATTTTTGTTTGTACAACTACTGTCTGAAATATTGACCATGGCTTCATAGATTTCTGATGTATAAAATGTTATGAGTGCTAAATATAGATTTGAATTATCGTTGAATTAATTCTTCATCTTAGTCACTGAAAGAAAGTTTGAAAGAGACCATGAGAGATCATCTAGTCTGTCTACCTCTCTGTAACACAGGTTCAAAAATAGCTTTGTCATCCACAACAGAAGCTTTGCCCACATGTTCCTACAAAAAAAAATCAGGTTAATAAGTATCCTACCATCCTAAACTGGTCTCAATATGTAAATACATTTATTGTGAGAATGCTTCTCCAGGTCTCCCATGATGCAAGTGAAGATTGTTAATTCTTGATGCACCTGAAACTCGTATCTTTCTCCTTGAAATTTTATTTATCTATAGAGAAGGAAAGAATGAGAAAATTAAATATATAAATGCATATGTTTGTGTTATGAAAGCTGTTGATTCATAGTTCTAGACAACAAATACTCCATTGATTTACTGAAAAGTAAATGAAACATGAAAAAGTAAAAGGTAAATGAAACGTGCAAACCATTCATGCCATGAAGGGTGGTGGTATAACACATTTTTGTTTCTCAACCTGTTTCTACTTTGTAGTGATTACCTGTGCTGAGCACTTGACCTACAGTGAGTGCATTGACTGCTGCCCTGTTTCATGCCGTCAGCAGTCGCCGTGCGTAGGCAGTGAGCTTCCCTGCATTGATGGATGTTACTGTCCAGATGGTAGGTTTTTCAGATTGTTACACATACCTATGTAGTCCGCCTAAATTAAGGTGTCCACAGGATCTCGTTATAACCACCTTGTCAGCAGATTGCTTGAATGACCTTTTTCTCTTTCAGTGGCAAGAGCCCTTTCCTCCATCCATAGCAGAGGAGCAGGTTTTGTCACAGATCCACATTTTAGCTATTCTAGCACCACAGTATAAACCAAAGATATGGTTTGCAGACTTGGTGTCGTGGGTAGTTTTTTTTTAAAGGAGATATCTGCAAGTCCCTGTGCATGCTGAAAAGCCAGACAGGAGAAAAACTCCTGAATTCTTTTCATTATTTCCAGAAACGGTTTGTAGTAGTGTTTCCTCTACCATTGTGGTTCTGGTAGCTATGTGGCTTAAAGTAAAGCTATACACTTTTTACTAAAAGTTACTTTACTGTCCAGTTTTCCTCTTATTACTGCCTTCTCTTGAGTACATAATGGTGTCTGAAAGAGAACAGAGAACGATATCCTGTGGCTGTTCAAACTATGCCTTTTACACATACCCTGATAGTTTATAAGGCTTTGTCCTGCACTTCATTTCTAATGATCTGTTAATGCCCTTTAGGTCCTGGTTATAATAACGGAATAATTTAAGAAAAACAAAGGTAAAAAATCCCTACCATTGCCCTACCTTAAAATAAGAACCCAATGGTGCCTTAAATTATGAAGACAAACATTAGTATAACTGCTGGAAGAGATGCCATAAGTACTTGAGTAAAGCAGTGTGTTGTTTTTTCAAAATATAAAATATTTGTGATTCATACCATCATTATTCTATTGGAGGCAATTTAGGTGCGTGTAATACTTTTGAGAACAAATACACATTTCAATTATATTGAATAAATTATGAGTCCTGATTGGTCTGCAATTTTGTTCTGCTACTTGGCTGTTAGTACTCTAATTAATTATTAATTAGGGTATTCCATTTGCGAAGACATTTCACTTTTCTTGTTTTATTTCTTCAAGGCCTAATTTATGAAAATGAATTGTGCGTCAAGCCCATAGACTGCCCTTGCGACTACCATGGAAAATTTTTTGAAATGGGGTCTGTGGTTCATGAGGAATGTAACAACTGGTGAGTAAATTTCCTTTCTATGCTGTTTTCGTTCTTTTTGTGGTCAGCAGAGAGAGAATTCCTTTAAGGCCTATATTTCAGTTAAACACTGAATACTTTCAGTAGGAGTCTTCACTTGTCCCTGCATGCAGAAACTGCTACTATTTGGAGGTGTTGCACTTAACAAAAAGAAAAGGAAGTTTGATCTATCAATTTTAATGGGGCAAGAGCAAAGGAGCAAAAAGGAGAAAAAACCACATACACAGCAGACAATACTGAAATGTTTAGTAATCTTATTATGTGGAAATCTGCATAAAGCTGGAACATATTTAGAATTCAAAACCTTGAAAATTGAATTAGTTTGACATTGTGTTATATCTGTTTATTTGTATTGTCTCACATGGCACGAAGTTAAATGTTAGGACATGAAGTTACTGGTTTTAGGATTTCTAAATTAATTTTGCACTTCAGTAAACAAGGTTTATAGGAAGGGATAATACCTTTTACTGGATCAACTTGGAGAAAATGATGAGTTTGCAGACATGTGACTCCTTTTTTTTCCCCTCCCACAGAAGTTATTTCATTTAAGTTGCACATGTGTATTCTTAGTATCAGTCATCCCTGACTTTTTACAATGGAACTAAAAATGGGAGCTCCTTTTACAGTGACCTAAAAGGAAAGAGAAGTATTATTAGACATATGAATGAGACTTCACCTAGCTGTATCTTCCTGGCAAGCGCTTGCTACATTTTCCAGACTTTGTAGTGATTGTAACAGCGCTCTCTCACCATTCAGTAAAGCTCATAAGACATTTGGTACTCTCTTCACGGAGTATGAAACCAGGGAGAACTGAGGGATGTGTCATATGTTTAAAAACAGAACAAAACAAAAACATCTTTTCACTTTTATTTCAGCACTTGCATTGGAGGAAAGTGGATTTGTACAAATCTTACATGTCCAGGTATGTTGGATGCTTTTATTTTTATACATACTGGACTAAATATTAAAATGATCTATATAACAACTATCTAGCTTTTCCAGCAGAGTGTAGTAATGCCTGGCCGAGTGGGTCACTACTGTACAATGTTTCTGACAAGTAGCACTACCTGTCTATGCCTGTTATTAAAAAAAAAAAAAAAAACTTCTCCCGACAGACTTAGATATGTATTATCAAGGAGTTTCTAAATGCATGATTATGAAGTGCATGTCAAGAAGACACAATGTTTTCTGTGTACTTAAGTCTGTTTTCTGTTGTATCTGTCAGCTGAATGCTCAGTTTCGGGCGACATTCATTTCACGACCTTCGATGGGCGCAAATACACTTTCCAAGCTACCTGCCAGTACGTTCTAGCAAAGAGCCTTACGTCCGGAGAATTCACTGTATCCTTGCAAAATGCTCCATGCGGACAGGTGAACTTTAAAACCTTCATATTATGTCTATATCTTGAAGAGAAGCTGTGTTAAGCAGGGCAAACCCTGCCCTCCCTCCCCCAAATCTCCAGGCTACTTGCAACTGAATAATCAGCAGCAACAATCTTTACTCTCAGAATAGTCTAACAGTAGCAGTGGTAGAGGAACCCTGTGCATAGGTTTCATGCTTTTTTTTTGATTCAGAGTTTGGTTATATCATTAAATAGCATATGATGGTCCTTGAAAGAAATTCCAGATGTTATTTATTTATTTATTTATTTAGGCTCTCTGAGTATGTCCATATGGACTTGCAGCCAGCACGTAATAAGCCAACTACTTCTTACTGCTTGGGGAAAGAAAGACCTTTTTGTGCCTTGAATATAGGTTTCTCTTTTGGCTTTGTTCTTGCAGTTTGAAATTCACTTTTATTTATATTGACATGGAAAACTGGGTAGCTTTTGTGGTTTTGTCTCAGACTTGTATGTTTATGCTTCTCTTTAATGTTGCACCTTAGTCTACACAACTCATTTCAGACAAGCATATGTGTGCATGTGCTTATATGTAGCTGATACTAATGATACCCTTACTTTATATTTCTAAAAGTCTGATAGCATACATGGAAGTTCCCAAATAGTTTGTCTCCTTTATTGTGAAAACCCCGTTTTTCTCCCCTGTGTATTTATGACCATGTGTTATAGAAGCTGCAATGCTGTACGTGTGAGATATGGAACACCAGAAAAGATTTTTGCTAATGTATTTGTTACTAATACAATTCTGCTGAATAGAGCAGCTACAGCATTTTCTTATTATTTTGTTCTTATTTTCTTCTTAATTTTGAGAATTTTTTGGCGTTTTAGCCCAGGTCTGAGGCCTATGTAGGTGCCGTGAGGCATGTAGTTGAACTAATTTCTGGATTCAGGCTTTTCCCACTGACTTTGTTGTATGGCTGGCTTATATATGAGTGGAAAGGCAGAACTTACCCAATGTTCTGTTGGGCTAGTGCTCCAGCAGTGTTAGCATCACGTGTGCTACTACTGATGCCAACTTCTGACTTTGAGGACTAAACTGCTGGCCCTGTGCTCTAAAAGCAAGGTGTTAGACTTGTTATCTTGGTCAGGTTTGGGGAGGTTAGCAGTATTGTAAAAGATGATACTTGTATTGTTCTTTTTTAGACTCTGCTTCTTTGAGATAGAAAATCTATAGTGAGGACTGTATAATGAGGTCTTGAAAAGGATGTGCACATTTTTAAGAGTTTAAGGTTTAGTCTCTGACTTCACAATCCTTTGGGTTGGTAGGAACCTGATTGAATTGCATTTTCTGTTCACAGGAAAGTTGAGATCTCTTCAAGGCACTAACTGACAGTTTGTTTAGTTCTCACTTGAAATGCACATTCAGTTTAACTTACTCAAATCTTAATGATTCTCACCTCACTTAACTTTATGCTAACCTTGGGATCCTGAGAAGTTGCTTAAGACAATACCATAGTCTAAAAGGAACACAAATACAACAGCTGTGTATGTGGGGAAAAGACAAAAACAGGACAGAGACACTACAACTTCTGTTATATCAACATAATTTTCTTCGCACTTTTGCAGAGCCCATGAAGCTTTGGAAAGCTTTGTGCTTGGAAACTTATGTTATGTATGGATGCAATAATAAAATGTCTTGTATTATATAGCTGAAGATGGGCAAGATGGGATCTCTTGAGAAAACATAGTTGTTCATTTACCAAATAAAAGCTGAGGCATGATTGGCTACTTTTGGAAGCCCAGCCTTTTAGTCTGATATGTTAAAAATTCCACCAACAGACAGCAGAGGTCATCTGCTATTAAAATGTGGAAGAGAGGTGTTGCACATCTCATTCACTGTTGTGTTACAGAACACTTATCCTCTGCCAAACGGAGAGAAATTTGGATTTTTCCTTTATTGATGCTTTAGATTATGGTTCTGTTGTGGGCAATGACAGTCGAATTAGTTTGCATTCTGCATTGCTCCAGAGACCATGAAGAACTTTGCATCAGTTCTTGAATCTTCATCTTCTTCCTGATTTCTGGGCTTATGTGTCTCTTTGTCCAGGTGGGTTTCACTAGCAACTGGGATTCACACTTCACCCAGCCTTTAACTGAGGTACCAGATGAGAATTCATTTAGGTTTAAACCTCTGTAGATCTTTGAGTGAAGCATTCTGAAGGTAACAGCCAGGTGGATGAACAGAGGCTTATGTGGTGCTTGGCAGGGTTAAGCTCTGTTAATTTAATTATTGAAGTAAAAGTGGTGAGAGGATAAGGAGAGCAGTTTGTGTGTGCTATAACACAAGGGTGTAGGGCTTCAAAGCAGATATTCGGGCATCTAACAAGTAGCTGGTACCACTTGGCAGAGCAACTGCTTTACAGGTTTCTAGGCAACATCCAGTATATTCTTTCCATTTATAAAAATTAATGAATTGAAATGGAAGCTAAAGATCGGTAATGCACAATCTCATGTTTCTCGGTGGTTTGAGAATTGTCTGCTTTTTAAAATATCTTTTTTTTTCCCCCCTTCTAACTGATCAGTCCCATCGCATTCAAGCAGATGGAAAAAAAAAAGGTAGAAAGAAAATACCTGAAGAGATTTTAGCTCTTTGAATCACAAAGAAGCCAGTCATCTAGTTCCTTAGAGCTGGTGACATAAGCAGTCATCAGGCAACAAGTGATTTCAAAATGATGTGAAATTTTGTTTAAGCACTTTTTGGAAGGAGAATCAGTCAAGTGATCAGCACAGCTTAACCTTATCTGAGTTTCAGGTGACAGGCTCCCTGGCTTTGTAGTTTGCGTGATGAGAAGATCTTCTGAATATAGGAATTGTTGTTAAATGTCTAGTGAGAGAAATGGTCATTCCTGTGAAAACACCTGCTGGAAGTTGGCAGGGTCGGTGCTGTGAAAGAAACAGTTCATTGGAACAGAAAATAATAGTCGGGCAGAATTTCTTACGTTTCTGTGTGAAAGAATAATGAAGCTTTTGTCATTATGGGGTAATTAAGGTCTATACTATGGATGTTTGTCCTCTTGGCTCTAGTCTGCTGTGTGTAGGACTGGAGCATTTTATTTGCAGCTTCTTGAAAGGTAGGCAAAACTCTGAAATAGTATCAACTGCTACTGAATTATATGCACAGATACCCAGTCTTCTAGTGGAGAAGCAAGATAAGCTTGCAAGGGCATGACTTTAAAGTGCAGACATCTGTCTTCACCATCAGTCTGGGACAGCTGGCTGAGCTGACAAAATATCTGTATTATTTTTGTATTTTGTTCTTATTTCTAAATTTAGTTTATTATTTCATTTTTTGATGGAAGATCACTGTTGCATTACTATTTAGAGACAGGGAAATTCTGAATGTAGTCTGTCTTCCTGTACATCCGTGTATCTGTGGACTGGTGGCTGGGCTGCTCCTCTCTAGAACAGCATCTGTGTCTGAGCCACATGGCAGTGGTCAGAGATCCTTGGAGCCCTGGCGCTTTGTTCTTAACATGTGGCAAGATTTGCCTCATATGAGGCAAATCCCAGTGAAAGTCAGTGGGAGTTGGATGTTTAGGACTGTAAATCTTTGATTTGAAAATCCTAATCTCAGTTTGCATTGTGAGCAATGCTATTTGCAGTATGTTTTTACCATTCATGTGACTGTCCAAAGCTGGGATATTTTAACTAACTCTTATTCAGTGCCTCTCAACACCGATGATGCTGAACACTTGCATCACATTTTCCATCAGCAGCTACTTCTTCATGACAGTGGGGCAGGAAAGGGCAGTGTCTGGCACCTCTTCTGGACTGCTCTAGACCTCCGCCTAGGGCCTGATCCAGTCTTTTCCCATGGAAAGACCTAGGCCAGTTTTTGACCCAGTGATTCTGAACATCCCTCTGTATGTTTTGATGTGTAAGGCATTAAGACATAAGATGTGTAATCAAGAGTAAAATGAACAAATGCAAGGAATCGGTATTAGCCAGACACTATTTTGTAATTGCATCCTTTTAAAACGTATTCAGTAACAAGGTCTTGCAACGAAGAATAAATCAAATATATTCTACTAAAAATCTGCTAGGCTTTTCTGATGAATAAGCACCCTTTAATAAGCATTCTTTCCCCAGCAGCATAAAGAGGCAAAGTACATTTATGCAGAAAGGTGGAAGTTTTTGCTTGGAAACACTGACAGCCGCTGACTGGTGTTAATCATGTGTCTGGAGACTTGCCATGTTACTTAGTGCAGGTGTATTTCTTATGGAGATACCCTGGAAACATGCAATATTCAACAGGCCTCATGCTTGTGCTGCCTTCCACCTGCTTGATGTGGTATCTAGTTCAAGA